GGAGCAGGAGGAGGAGGAGGTCTTCAAGGACATCAGGCGCCTGTTCTGGAGGGGCCAGGCTTGCCCTGCGGAGGCAGGGTTCCTGGGTGGTGGTGGGATAGTCCCCTGTGGCCCTGGGCACAGGGCTGGGTGGGCAGCCTGGTGTGGGAGGGGCGGTGCGTGCTGGTGGTGGTTGAGATTCGCAGAACAGCCCCAGATGGTGCAGGCCGGGCAGGGTGGGGGGATAGGGGCAGAGGATCAGAGCTTTCTTTTTCTCAAGTGCAATAAATCTATCAGGGAGCTGAGGCGGGAGCAGCCGGCACTCCGGGACCCTGCTGTCCAGGCCACTGGAGGCTGCGCCCTGAGAGGCACTACAACCCATAGGGGGGCGGGCGGCATGGGTGTGGGTGAGGGTGGGCAGAGGGCTGGGGCTACTCCTGTTGGTGCAACTCTGTTCACACCTTTTCTAATAAACTGGGGCTGGGTTCACTTTGCGCAATGTCTGCTTCATGGGGATCCTGGGGGTGGCTGCTGGGGTGGGCTGGGTGGAGGCTGTCACAGTCTGGCAGGGCTCAGGAGGCTGACCAGGCATTGCTGCGTCTTCCCCCACAGTCCCCTCTTCTCTGTGTCTATGCTCCAGTGTCTCATACAGCCACCTCACAGCCAGGCCAGTTTACACCCATCCCTTCTGCATGGAGAGATGGGCCCTGAATTCCTCCCAGCTTCAGGTCTAGGATCCCAGGATGCTGGATATGGTGTGGCTCTGCCAGCCACCTGTCCCTCAGTGGGAACAGATTCCAGCCTGTCCCTGCCAGCCTTGGTGTCATGCAGGTGGAGTGTGCCCGGGGCCAGGCCAGAGCACCAGCACGGGCCTGGGGTGCCACGGGGGACTGTTGAGCATTTCTGGGAGGTCTGTTTTCTCCCTTTAGGAACTGAGAGAGCAGGCTGGGCATGGTGGCCCATACCTGTAATCCCAACACCACCTTGGGAGGCCGAGGTGGGAGGATCACTTGAACTCAGGAATTTGAGACCAGCCTAGGTAACATGGTGCAACCCCATCTCCACAGAAAATACTAAAATTAGCTGGGCATGGTGGCACACGCCTGTAGTCCTAGCTACTCAGGAGGCTGAATTGGGACGATCGCTTGAACCCAGGAGGCTGAGGCTGCAGTGAGCTATGATTTATGATTACACCACTGCACTCCAGCCTGGGTAACAGAGTGAAACCCTGTCTCAAAACCCCTTTCTTTCCCGTGTGGGAGGCTGTCATGGATGAGGTGTTGTGGTGAGGTCGCAGGAAGCATCGCTGGCTGGAACCCTGGTGTCATTCAGCTCCTGGGCACACAAGGAGTCTGCTGCCCAGCTGCCCTGGCCTCAGTGAGGAACACCTCATGAAGCCACTGCTGGTTTGCCGTTTGGTCCCATGCAGCTGTGAGTGTCCTAACTGCTCCCCAGGGCAGCTATGACCAAGACTCTGATTGGGGCAAGGGACTTAGGGCAGCTACACAGAACAGCAGCCAGCAGCATCCTTCTGTCCCTGCACTGCCAGCCTGTCCCCAGCTCTGCTAATGCTCGATGTGGCTGCGGGTGAAGGGGAAGAAGGGGTCGCCTCCTGGCCGACGTGGATCCAGCCCCTCTGGGTGAGGCCGGGGCATGTGAGGTGTTTGCTTCAAGGTACTGGGAGACTGCCGTCCTTTGCCTGGTTGGGGTCAGCACAGTGCCCCAAAGATCTTCGGAGGCCCTTGGTCAGTATTAGCCTTTGCTCATGGTCTCAGCCTCCGTGGAGGTAGTTGTGTTGGGGTCTCACCAGCCCCTTGCCCGTCTGCCTCCCCACCCCAAGCGGGGTGGGCTGGGGGAGGAACAGGGGTCCTCTTCCCAGCCTGTTGCTTGGTTTGTATTTGCTTTCACCAAATTGAGCTTGGAGTGAGGAACTGGGCCTTTCCTACTGTTGGGGGTTGAATTGTGTCTCCCATAAAAAAAGACGTTAAAAGTCCTTATCTCCAGTACTCCAGAATGTGAGCTCACTTAGAAGTAGGGTCTTTACAAAGGTCATCAAGTGAGAATGAGGTCATTCGGGTGGGCCTTGTCTGCCTGATGTCCTTATTTTTTTATTTTTGTTTTATTTCTTGGGGTAGCCCAGGTTAGAGTGCAATGGCACGATCTTGGCCCACTGCAACCTCCGCCTCCTGGGTTCTAGCAATTCTCCTGTCTCAGCCTCCTGAGCAGCTGGGACTACAGGCCATGCCCAGCAATTTTTTTTTTTTTTTTTTTTTTTGTATTTTAGTAGAGATGGGGTTTCACCATGTTGGCCGAGATGGTCTCGATCTGCTGACTCGTGAGCCACCTGTCTTGGCCTCCCAAAGTGCTGGGATTACAGACGTGAGCCACTGTACCTGGCCCCTGGTGTCCTTACCAAAAGGGGCATTTGGGCACAGGGAGACTACCACGTGAAGACAGGATGGGGTGATTGTATTTGCAAGCCAGGGAGTGCAGAGATGGCCAGCAGCACGCCGGGAGCGGGGAGCAGGCACAGAGGGACCCCCTTCATCTGGAACTTGCAGCCTCCAGAAGCAAGAGATGATACATTTGTTCTTCAAAGGCATGTGGTCTGTCGGACTGCGTTAGAGCAGCTGTAGGAACTGCAGCTGTATCAGGCCACACCAGCCTGCAGCGCTTCAGATTTTCTGACTCAAGGGTCCCAGATCGAAGGCTGGAGGCTGAGAGGATCCCCCTTGCCGTCTTGTCTTCCCCTTCCCTTCAGCCATCCAAACATGAGCTTGTCATGTTTTGGTAGCCTTTGCTGAAGATGTAGGGGGTCTGTTTCATGGAGGATCTCCATGACCTAACACAGGAGATGCCTATTGTCAGACGTGGATATTCAGAGTGGCAGGCAGCTGTTTACCAAGTTACTCCTGGACCCAGGTCCCTTCCAAGCTCAGGGCGCTGTCGCTCCCCAGGGCCTCAGGGGTCCCAGCACCAAGTGGGCAGATGGGGGAGGGGAGTGAAGGGAAACCTGCTCCCTAACTCATTGCTGGGAAAGGCATAAGGGTCAGCCATGCTCCCTTTCTGTTGGTGAGAACCGGTCCCACGGCCCACGCAGGTGCAAGTTCTCACAGCAGCTCCACATGAAGATACTGTGGGCAACAGTTTGGCTGCTGCTTGGTACCACGTAACAGAGGCTGCGGCTTTGTTCTGTTTTTTGAGACGGAGTCTCGCTCTGTCACCCAGGCTGGAGTGCAGTGCAGTGGCACCATCTCAGCTCACTGCAACCTCTGCCTCCTGGTTTGAAGTGATCCTCCCACCTCAGCCTCATGAGTAACTGGGATTACAGGTGCGCACCACCACGCCTGGCTAATTTTTTGGTATTTCTAGTAGAGATGGGGTTTCACCATGTTGGCCAGGCTGGTGCGGCTTTTTACTGAGGCATGGGGGGCCTCAGTCCTGTCCTCACCTCCACCCAAGTCTGCACGTTAGCATCTCTCACAGCACCCACTCCTGGTAACAGGAGTGAATTTGTTTTCAGCCTGGATTCCAGGTGATAAGAAACAGTCCCAATGAAACTGGCTTAAGGGAGGCGAAAGGGATATATTGACCCTAACCGCACATCTACAGAAACACACTCAACCATGTCACGACGTCCCATGCCTCTTCCTCTGAGGGCAGCGCTCCCTGACTGCTGGGAAACAGCTCCCAGGAGGTCCAGGCATATCCTACCAGCTTAGCCAGGCCAGGAATGAGAAACTGCTCGCTTAGCTCCAGGGAAGATCATGGCGGGCTCCCACTGACCTGCATGCACTGGTGACACCATTGCTGTGGCCAGGGGACTCCGGTGCTACAGCGAGACCTGGATGCCGTGCCCAGCCTTGGAGCTAAGGAACTGTGAGGTCAGTGACCCCAGCCCCCATGGCCGAAGGGTGGGTGCCTTTGCAGAGCTCTTGGGTTCCTCAGGGACTGTTCCCTCCGCCAGTCTCAGGGCCCTGGCTCAGAAGTCAGCCTCATCCCAGGGGTACGTTCAGTGTTGGTCCCTGCGGCCCCTGCCTGCACATGCGTGGGACTGGGCCAGGCACCCCAGGGCTTGAGCATGTGGCTGAACATTGGACCAAAGAGGAATCAAGAACTGCTCAGAGGAGCGACACCCACCCACCAGCCCAGGGCTTTACCCAGAGGGAAGGTGGGAAGCCCTAGTGTAACCCCTCCTGCCTGGCTGACTTGGGCCCTGTATCCTCATCTCTGCTTAACTTCCCTGTCCTCATCAAGGGGCTGGTGTGGTAGTGTCAGTGACTAACCAGTGGCCCTTGGGTGGTCCTGGAGTGACTTGTAATGCAGGCATCTTGTGGACAGTTATTTATCTGGAGGAGGTTAGTGCCACCCACCCCACTCGACTGAGGTGCCAATAAGATCTAATTAACCCATTACATTGAGGGTGGAGCCTTCCTGGGGGTGGAGCAGACTGCTGAGTTCACTGAGGTCACCCTCAGAAATGCCAGCTCCTGCCCTGCTCACAGAGGGGCAGGCTAGGGCATGGGGACAAGGACTGGGATTCCCTGAGGCCTGGGCGCTCCATGTTGCCTTAGTCAACCCGGCCCATCCGCCTGTCATCTCCCAGCTCTGCAGCCGCACCCACCTTGCCCACCGCCCCCGCAGCCCCTCCTGCCACAGAGATGCCAGCTGAGGAGGCCAGTGTGGCTCAGAGGAGGAAGTGGGCTTGGCAGGGCAGGGCAGGCCCTGGTGGCAGGATGGGGCAGGCCTGGTCCCTGGTCAGATCAGGATGTAAGGACCAACTCAGGGCTCTCAACGACTCCATTTGTTGCACGTACACCGAGTTCCTCACTGGTCCTTCTGCACCCGCTCTCACACTGGCACTGGCTCACAGCCCCGCTCCTGGAAGCTATGTCCACGGCTCTGGCTCAGATTCACAGGCCTCATTGGGACCCTGGGCTGTGGCCCCAGTCCAGCCCCCTATTCCCCCATCTGGGCAGATGGAGGAGCCCTTGCCTCCTGCTGCCTGACAAGTCCTCCATTCAGGGCCCACCTGGCCTGGATTCCCCTGGACAGAAGAGCGCTCAGGCCACTGGCCATGGCTTGTCCCGCATGGGCCAAGTCCCCAGCGTGGTGGCCTTCGCCGGCTTGCCCTGCGGCACAGCCCGACGGGGACGCCCTAGAGGCGCTGTTGGCCCGGTGGGCAGCGTGGGGGGCATCGCGAGCAGGGGATTTGGGCGGGCTGGGCGGCTTGAGCGCGCTGACTGCTCGGATGAGGCCCATGCGCCGGCGGATGGAGTGGTCCAGGTTGACAGTGCAGCGCAGCAGGCTCTGCGCCTCGGCCACGGTGAAGGGGAAGTCGGCGCCCAGGAAACGCTCGAAGAGCTCGGGGTCGCCGTCCAGGTCCAGCACATTCTGCAACGCCTTGGTCATGGTGTGCAGCTCGCGGCTGTTGTCGCGGAACACGTCCCAGAGGCGCGCGCGACCTTCGGGCGCGCCCCCGGTCTGCTGCCGGTCCTCCAGGCACTGCAGCGCCCAGCTCAGGCGGCACGGCCACTGGTTGGCGAGCACCACCCACGCCACCGCCTGGCGCGGCGTGGGGCCCCCGAAGTCACCCTGCTGCTGCTGCTGCTGCAGCAGGCGCACGGTGATGGGCACGGTGTTGACGATGCGCCGCATGGACACCACGTTGTCGGGCACGTACTCGTAGAGGCAGTCGCGCTCATCGTGCAGGCAGAAGAGCGCCTCCTGGATGCGCCGCGCCGCCTCCGCGTCGATGCGGCCCTGCCGGCGCTCGGGCCCCACCTGCATCTGCACCGCCAGCAGCTGCGCCCTGTCGCCCCCGCCGCCCCCCGCAGCCCCCGGCTTGCGCGTGATCTCGCGATACAGCAGGTCGTCGCGGCTCTGCACGGCGTCATGCAGGAACTGCAGCTTGGTGCGGCGGCCCATGATGGGCACGGAGAAGGGCAGCGTGACCGTGCGGTTGAGGAAGAGGTAGCCGTTGTCGGCCGTGCCCTTCATGTTGCCCGCGCTCTCCAGGCACGCGGCCAGGATGCTGGGGTCCACGACCAGGATGAAGATGAAGGGCGCGTGGCTGTCGGACAGCAGCGTGTTGATGGCGTTGAGCACGCCCACCACGCGCTCCGGGTAGCACGTGTCCAGCCCGGTGACCTCCAGCACCACGCGCAGCCGGCGCCGCTGGTAGATCTCCAGGAAGCACAGGAAGTCGGTGAGCAGCTCCACCTCCTTCTTCACCTCGCACATGAAGCCCAGCTGGCTGCCGAACTTCTCGCGCGACACCAGCCGCTCGATCTTCTTGCGCTGGCTCACGAACAGATGCTTGCCCACCGAGTACACGGCCATGAGCAGCCCCGAGCCCGACAGCGTGGTGGCCGCGCCGCCGAACACCTTGAGCAGGCTGCCGTTCGGACCGCCGTGGCCCGGCGCGTGGCCGCCCAGGGACAGGTAGAGCAGCCCCACGCCCAGGCCCAGCGCCGCCAGCAGCGCCAGCAGCCCCAGGCACACACGGCGCCGACAGTGCCACTCGTTGTGGCAGCAGCCCTGCCTGGTGGCCGGCTTGTTGCCCAGCACCGAGTACACGCTGAAGGGCAGCGCGCCGTAGTGGTGGCGGATGCCCTCGCACAGCGTGGTCACCAGGCCGGCCCACAGCTTGTCGGTGCCCGCATACTGCCAGGCGCTAAAGCGGATGAAGAGGAACTGCACGTTCCTGCGCCGCAGGTGCACCTCGGTGATGATGGGCTGCAGGAACACCAGGTACCACAGCAGCTGCGGGACGCCCCAGCCGCTCACGGCGCGCGGTCGCCACTGCACGTGCTGCAGCTCCTCGCTCTCGCGTTGCGCCGCCTCCTGCTGCATCAGCGCTGAGGGAAGGGAGCCCGGGAGCAGCGTGAGCCGCAGACCCGCCGGGGTGGGCGGGGCCTAGACGGGGCGGGGCGCTCCTGGAGAGACTAGGAGCGCCCAGCAGAGGTCCGGGCTGGAAGGGAGCGCGCGGGAGCCGCAGACCCCCCGGGGTGGGCGGGGGCAGGGCGCTCCTGGAGAGGCGAGGGGCTGGAAGGGAGCCGCGGCCGCTCCTTAAAGAGCTAGAAGTGGGTGCAGAAGGCGGTGCGTGGAGAGGCCTGGAGCCAGGCTTGGAGCGGAAGCGGTCTGAAGGCCTGGTTTGGGGGTCAGGATGGGCAGAGGTAGAGCCGGCAAAGGAGAGACGATGGGAGGGCGCAAAAAGGGACAGGAGGAAGAGCCAGGGCTGCGCAAGGGGTCGAGGGTGTGGAGGGCTCTAGGAAGGTTCTGAGAGTGAAGTAGGGGATAAGTGGTCGGTGAAGGGATGAATGAATGAGATGCTGAGAACCAGCTATGCTAGACAGCAGGATACAGCCTTGGTCTTATCTTCCTGACTTACTGATGCTCCTCCAGGAAGCCCTCCCTGGTCCCCAGGCTGGGTTGGGGGCCCTCAGCCCTTCCCGCTCTGGGTCATCACTGTCTGAGGATAAGTCTCTCTCCCCTACTGCTGTGAGCCGGAAGGGTGGGGTCCTGCCTGTCTTGGTCACCACTGTGTACCCTGGGCACCAGAAGGTGCTGGGGGAATGCCTGAACAATGGATCTTGAGAAATCTGAGCTCAGGGAGTGAATGGACCCACAGGAGTAGGGACTCCATCATGCTGGCGCTCTGCGCCTTCTATCATCTTTTCTCCTCCTGGGAGCTTGTTTGTTCTTTTGTGACAACAGGGGGCAGGACAGTGAGCTCTCAGTGGACACTACAGGAATGAAAGGCTGTTGGGCCTGCACCAGGGCTGGGCACATGGAGGAGGAACGCCAGACTCAGCCTCTCTGGCTGCACGTGGGGATGAAGTCTGAGCTCCAGCAAGGCCTGATCCAGATCAAAACTGCTGGGGAGGCTGGGTGCAGTGGTTCATGCCTGTAATCTCAACACTTTTGGGGAGGCTGAGGTGGGCGGATCACATGAGGTCAGGAGTTCAAGACCAGCCTGGCCAACACGGTGAAACCCCATCTCTACTAAAAATTAGCCAGGCGTGGTGGCAGGCACCTGTAGTCCCAGCTACTTGGGAGGCTGAGGCAGAATTGCTTGAACCCGGGAGTAGAGGTTACAGTACTGCACTCCAGCCTGGACAACAGAGCGAGACTCTGTCTCAAAGAAAAAAAAAAAAGCTGCTGGGAATCTTGCAGTTTCCAGCTCATATCTTCAATTAGCATCTATCTGTCAGGTGACCACTATGCCCTAGGAGATGGGTCTGGGGGGCACAGAGGCCGGAAGGGCCTTGGCAGGAGCCTGCAGCCTCACTAAAGACCCTGGGCTTTCTGCCTCAGGTGCTGGGGAGCATGGGAGGCGCTGAGCATAGGAGGAACAGCACCAGACCTGTCCTTCAGAGTTTTTGGAGTGGATTTGGTGATGGAGGCAGGAAAGGGTAAGACTTGGAGGTGGTCAGGAGGCCAGGGAAGCAGAGCCTGGGGCATAGGCATGGGCTTGGGGAGGGCCTGGGCTGGGGCAGGCTGGCCACAGGGATTGGGGGATATGGGAGAAGCCTGGAGCTGGGCGGGCACCAGAGGCCCTGTTTCTCATCCTCCCCACAGTGAACACAGCTCCTCACCCGTGATCTTGTCCAGCATCATGTGCAGGCGGCAGCCAAAGGGGGCGTAGAAACCCACGGTCACAGGGACTGGCACGTGGCAGAGTGTCTTGGCCAGGCAGCTGCAGTAAACGTCATCCTCTGTTAGAATGTCTGGTGGGTGAGGGTGGGGACACTGAGTCAGGCGGCTGGCCAGGCACCACCCTCCTCCCATCTGCCCACCATAGCCACCACCATTGGCCCCTCCCTGGCACCCCATGCTAAGGGGACTCAGGTCAAACCCTCCAGTGGAGGTTTCTGTGGCCACCAGCAGCCTCCACCTCCAGAGCCAGACATGCCCCTTTGGGTACCACCAGGCTGAGGCTGCAGGAAGTCAGCTTTCCTAGCCCCAGGTGACCAGGCTTGCTTGGTCACCGGCCTATGATATCCCCCCCACCCAGAAAACCCCAAAGGCCCTTATTTGGGATCCGAGGCCCTGGGATGCGGAGATAGCAGTTTCCACCGTCAGCAGGACTCCAGGCCATTCCTGCCTGCTCTGCTGGCCCAGCCCCAGCATGGAGAGGCCCTGGCTCCTCTCAGCTTCTGTCCATCCCGTACCTGACCCCATGCCCGCAAGTCACTAATCCCACCTGACCCCAGGCTTGGGAGAGAGATGACAAGACTGAAGCTCCAGTCCCGGCCCCGTTGCCTTTCTCTGCAGACCCCAGGGAGAGCCACCTCTGAGAGGCTCAGTTCCCTCTGAAGAGTGGGGCGGCAGAGATGCCGGGTAGCGGGGATGCCAAAGGGTCTGGCCAGCACCGGGCCCTCTGTCAATGCCGTGGTCTCCAGTGGCCATTGAAGGCCCAGGGGACCAGGCACTGGCACTACAGCACCCACTCAGTAGAGGGCACCCTGTCTCCACTGAGTATTGCTTCTCAGACCTGGAAATGGGGTCTCAAAAAGACAGGGTTCAGTTTTGGGAGGTACATGGGGCCAGCCTTGTGGTGCACAGTGAGGGCAACACAGCCACTTTCAGAGAGGCCTGGGGGGCCATGGGAAACGGGCCACGCCTGGCAGCAGAGCCAGGAGGCCAAGAGGAAGACTTGGGTAGGTCTCCTGAGGTGTGTGCCGGGTGGGCCTGATTCCAGCTCTGCCAGATCACTGGGCGGCCCCACCTCATCCAGCCTCTTTCCCTGTGTGTGAAATGGACATCACAGCCCTGAGGCTTGGGTGACAAGGCCGTGCCCGACCTAGAGTCCTGTTGAGTCCCTCTTGCTCCACTTTCAAGACAGACCTAGAAACCAGCTGTGTCTCCATCTCTGCTGCCCCCGCCCCAGCCAGGCCACCAGCGCCTCTCGCCTGCATTTCTGTCATCTCCTCCTCCCACAGCCCATTCTCCTGGAGATCAGCTCACATCCCTCCTCAGCTCCGAGGCCTCCTGTGGCTCCTGCCTCCTTTAGGGAGAAATCCCAAGTGCTGGCTCCTTGCTGGGCGGGAACATGCCTCCCCAGGGCCCAGCCTGACCACCCTATTTAATCTGCAAATCTGACCCCCCATCTCCTCTCCCTGCTTTATTTTTTCCTAGCGTGGTTGTCACTGGGTGGCATAGTTTTAGAGGCAAGGTCTTGCTCTGTCACCCAGGATGGAGTGCAGTGGCACAATTATAGCTGACTGCAGCCTTGAACTCCTGGGCTCAAGGGATCCTCCTGCCTCAGCCTCCCATGTGGCTGGGACCACAGGCGTGCACCACCATGCTGGGCTAATTTTTATTTTATTTTTTATAGAGACAGGGCCTCACTATGCTGCCCAGGCTGGTCTGGAACTCCTGGCCTCAAGTGATTCTCCAACCTCAGCCTCCCAAACTACTGGGATTACAGGTGTCAGCCAGTGCACCCAACCACACTTTTTCTTTTTTTTGAGATGGAGTCTCGCTCTGTTGCCCAGGCTGGAGTGCAGTGGTGTGATCTCGGTTCACTGCAGCCTCCACCTCCCGGGTTCAAGTGATTCTCCTGCCTCAGCCTCCTGAGTAGCTGGGACTAGAGGCACCCACCACCATGCCCAGCTAATTTTTGTTCTTCTAGTAGGGACAGGGTTGTACCATGTTGGCCAGGCTGGTCTCGAACCTCTGACCTCCAGTGATCCACCTGCTTCGGCCTCCCAAAGTGCTGGGATTACAGGTGTGAGCCACCATGCCTGGGCTCCCAGCCACACTTTTAAACTTCCTTGTTTCCTGTACCCGCTCCCGGCTGCAATACAATGTGAGCCCCATTGAGACAGAGATGTCTGTTGATCCTGCTCCCTACTGTGCCCCTAGAACAGCCTGGCACACTCAGGGTGCTGGATACCTAGTCATGGAGTGAATGAGGGAGTGGGTCCTCCCATTGCTGACCTTTGTTCTCACTCCCCAGGCCACTCCCTAGCTCTGTGTCCCCCACCCCTGAGCCGCCAACAAACTGGGGTTCACCATCCCTGCCCCATGTCCCCTGTAGCCTGCTGGGCCAGAGGAGGTGGCTGAGAAGAGACCAGGGCACAGCCAGGGTGTCGGCAGAGGGAGAGGGGGGAATGAGAGGGAGGCCTTCGCTGCCTGGCCCAGGATGGAAGCCTTAGACCCCGACAGGCAAAGCAGAGGCAGCTGGCCTGAGCCCCAGGGCCAGGGATGCACCCCCCCGGACAGGGACCAGGGTGCGGATGAAGAAGGCAGGTGCAAGGGGAGCAGGCGGGAAGTGAGGCAGCAGGAGCAGGCACGGAGCCCCCAGGAAGGCCAGGGTGAGCACCAGAGCTGTAGGTGAAGGAGCCGCAGGCCGCTGGGGCAGGCAGGGGCCGGGCATCAGTGGGCTCGCTGGGCTCCAGGAAGACGCTGGCCGCGGTGCGTATGGCTGGGCCGCTGCTGGCTGTGGCGAGTGCCGTGGTGGCTAAGGGGGGCGCCTGGGGGGCGCTGGCTGGTCCCCTGGGGACAGTGGAGGTTGCAGGCGGCCCCTTCTGGGCTTCGTGAATGGGGCAGAGCTGCTGCCGCATGGGGCTGGGAGGTAGGGGCTGGGGCTGCCGCTGCTGGACAGAGGGTGGGGGGCCCCGGCGCCAGCCACTGCTACCCGCTCGGTGGCTGTGGTAGGCCAGCTGCCAGTGTGACTGGGGGGAAGGCCGACAGGGCCCATGGGCTCGGAGGGCTGCTGAGTCCTGGCGTCGCGGATGGCAGCATCCTGGAAGGAAGGAAGTGGGGGTGACTGGGCCTGCATCTCCAACCTCCGGGGGGGGCACTGGCTCGAGCCAGATCAAGTCTTCAGGTAGAACCTGGGGGCCGGAGTATTCTTGGGAGCCCCAGAGGCCCCTCAGAAAGTCAGATCATATTAGGGGGAGATACGGGCAGGGGAGGGGCCCGAGTTCTGTGCTGTCCATGGGTGGGAGCGGGGAAGGTGCCAGTCTTGGGCTTCAGTCAGGGGCCAGAGAGATGCCTGAGGCTGGGGCTTCAGTGGAGGCGGGTGCCTGCCCCTCCAGATTCTGGGATCCCTGGGGGGTGCGCCCAGTGCAGGGGTCGGAGAAACTGAGAGGACCCATTGGGAGCTGGCCTGGCTGGCCCAGGAAGGCCGGGGTGGAGGCCGTGGAGAGCGGTAGGCCGGGATTGGGAAGCAGGGTGTACCTTGTCCCCAGCTCAGGCCAGGGTGGCAGGAAGGGTGGTGACCTGGGAAGCTCCGGCCCTGAGGAGGCTGAATCAGCCCCAGTGGAAGGGCACTACCCCCTCCCCACCCTGAGCAAGAGCACCCGTGGCCGCCACCAGAAACTGGGTCCAGCCTCATCCAGACAGGTTCAGCCTAGGGGCTCCCTCGAGGCTGGGGGCCGCCCACACAGGCCTGGGGGTTTGGGGAGGGAAGGGTAGGCCAAGCGGCCCCCAGCTTCCATCTCCAGCCCAGGCTCCTATCTTTGGGACCCCAGGCCCTGTGATCCCGCTCCTGGGTCCTGACCTCCACTAGGCAGATGCCTCTTGGGGGAGCGCTGGTGGCACCCCTTCTGTTCCTTCATGCACTCCAGCTCCCTCGCAGGCCTCTGCCAGCCATCACCCACCCCCAAACTGAACCCGTACCTTTTTGGTGCCCCAACTCTGGGTCCCAGAAGTAGTGCCCGCTAGGGGTCTGGGCGTCCTTGGCGAAGTGGACTTTATAATGCTTGTGCATGGCGGCCAGGCAGCTGGGTGCTGGGGGCCTGCTCCTGGGACAGGAGGGAGCGCACAAGCTCAGCGTAGCCTCTGGGGCACCAATAGCAGAGAGCTGAAGTCAGGGTCCCTGTCCTGCCTGACAGTGTGGACAGGGGAGAGGCCAAGTCCCAGACGCTGGGTTCCTAGGTCACTTGGGAGGAGGGGACAGAGGTAGCCTTCAGGGTAGAGTGAGAGGCGGGATGAGGAAGGATGGCCAGAGAAGGGAATGGAGGACTGCTGGGGGGGCTAGGGCCTAATTTGAGGCTGTGTGTCTGGGAGCCCCTGGGAGTTTCTAAGGCCAGGACACGGGAGTGCTAAGCAGAGGTGGTCCGGGGAAATAGGGGGTCCAGGGTGGTGGCTGAGTGACACAGGGGTGATTAAGGTGTAGGCGCTGTGGGAGGCTGGCATGCTTTGGAGGGACATGGAGCTAGTGCGGTGAGCTGGGAAGCAGCTAAGAAGCAGGGTGAAGGAAAACAGAGCTGGGTACCTGTGGGGACTGAAGGATGCGGTGGAGGGGGAATTGTGGGGGAGCAATGAAACCGCGGTGGTCCAATTTGGGGAGAGGCTCAGCAAACTCAGGCGCGACAGGTGTACGGAGTTTCAAATGTGAAGAGCCAAAAGCAGGACTGGGAAGGATGCTGGGTGGGGGACAGGGACAGGGATGGGGAGAGGCTGAGGGGCAGATGAAATTGGGGTGCTGAGGGTTGGGGACCTGCCCACCACTCCCCACCCCCCGTCCCAGGTCCCCTCGTACCTGATGTACCGCGGCCTCACGGCCCCAGCTGCCTGCCCCGCAAGCTGCTGCTAGCTGGGACTGCCAGCGCAGGCCCATCCAGAGGGAGGCCCCAGCCCAGCACCCGCCCAACCGGTTTGCCCGCCTGTCCCCACCCCTTCCGTAGCGCCCGCCTGTCCCAATGTTCTCTGCTTTCGAGGACGGGGCTCCGACAGGACTCCGTCTTGTGCCCCTGTCCCTGGTAGGGGATGGAGATGCAGCCTGCTGTGCTGAGTCTCCTCAAGGCAGCCACGGGTCCAGGCACTTCTGCTTTGGGGGACAAGGAGCTGGGATAAGGACGGAGTCCGGCTCAGAGGCCAGCTCCTCTGTCGCCTAGCTATGTGACCTTGGGCACGTGACTCCACTCTCCGCGCCTCAGCTTCCTCACTGCTGAGTGGGTACCTGCCTCTCATGGTTGTCTTGAGGGAGGCACCAGGTGGGAGTCCCGGGCTCAGGGCCTGGTGCACCTGACCGGGGCCGTGCTGACCCATTTACCCGGCACTGCTCTAAACCGACGTCCACAGGACGAGGGGAACAGCACACACACCAAGGCCTGCCGCACTGTAGCCTCTCTTCCTCGCCACCATCTAGGGGGCCAGCTGTGATGCCTGCCTCCCACATGAGGACACTGAGGCCTAGAGAAGTGAGGCCTGCAGGACACGAAGGCAGAGCGGGGATTTGGAAGCAGGCAGTGGCTGCTACTCCTAGGCTCGCTAAGCTCTGTCTCCTGCCTTTGGGGCCAACACTCAGTGACTCTCCACAGACGCCCTCTGAGAGGTGAGGGCCAGGGAGAGCCTGGCAGGAGATGCCCTGGAGACCCCTCGGCTCTCCGGGGCCCTGACTCCAAGGCTGCTGGTGTGATGGGGTCAATAGTCCCTTCCCTGAGGGCCAGGACGCTCTGATGGGGATGGGGGAGGCAGCCCCGGAACAGTGCCCAGGACAAGATAAAGGGAACCCACCTGGCCCTGGGTTCTATCTGGGTGAGCAAACTCTGCTCCCTATGGCCAGAACCAGGGCCCTTCCTGCTACCTGGGACGGGACCAGCTGTCTCTTCCCCCAGCGCTCACGCTGGCTGCTCTGGGAAGGTTCCCCGCTGGCCCACCAGGAAGGCGGGGCTGGTGTCTGTGGTGGGCCTCCAAGTCAAGCCCCCACTGCCCACCCCAGCACGAAGCCTGGCCCAAGGTAAACAATGAGACACATGGCCAGGAAGCTGCTGGACACTAGGGGGAGCAGGAGTTTGGGGAGCAGGCCAGGCTGCTCCCTGCACTGCAGTGGCAGATGCAAGTCAGGGCTGCGCTCAGCCAGGTGGGCTGGGAAGGGGTGACCCAAGTAAGGGCTGATGGGGTGACTGGACCCCACTCTACAGGGGATTGTCTTCAGCAAGGGGACTGTTTCTCATTGCGTTTGGGTTTCACCCCCAGCCTCATTGGCAGCTCTGAGGCTGGGCACTTACCCGTGTCAGGCAGTGGGTGGCAAAGCCCAGGTATCCCCAGATGCTAGAGATGGGAGCACAGCAGGAGGGGGCAGTGTAAGAGCCACTCTGCCCAAGGACGGGCATCAGGAGTGGGTATAGGAGCCACATGTGTGCATGAGGGTGTCTGCCTCCCCCCACCCCGATGCTTCCCCAGCCCTGCTCCCCAGGAAGACACTCTGTTCCATATGCATTGCTGGGCAGAGGGCAGCCCCAGACTTGTTGACTTGGCAGAGATGCTAACAAGGCTGCCTGTGCCGGGGGCCAGCATCCCTCTGCCAGGAGTTCGGGGAGGGAGGGAGCGGAGGCGGGCCTGGCAGGGAAGGGTCTGAAGGGCATGGGGGCCAGAGAGGGTGCCCACTCCCCTGCAGGACCTGTGACGGTTGCCCCGCCGATCCTTCCCCACTGCTCCGAGTCGGATTCCACACACACAGCCTTTATTGAACACCTGCTGGGCAGTGACACTGCTGAGGCAGGAGTCCCACCCCAGTCCAGATGGCAGCTGGAACCTCTTTGCCTCCTGTGACACCCCACCTCACTTTGATACCCACTTCCTGAGTATATGTGACCCCTAGGACCTGGGATACCTAGCACCAGCCCCAAGACCACCCCCAAATGCAGCAGCCCAGGGCCCAAGGCAGCCACTGTCTCCTGAGGCCAGTGAGGGTGGGGGCAGCAGTGTGCTCAGCAGGTGCAGGGTGAGCTCAGGAGTTCTGAATCACCACCTGGAACTTACCTGGAAAAGAAGGACTGGCTTAGGCTGGAGGCTGGGATGAGGGAGAGGCAGAGGACACCTGGATGGCTCTCAGAGGCTCACCCCGTCTCACACTGACAGCCCAATGGCTGGGCTGGGGCTTTTTCCTCCCCCCACCCATGTGGCCTGAATCCCTGAACTGCGTGGGTAACCAGGAATATGAGGGCACTGCACAGGCTTCTGTGGTATGCCTCCTCAGTCCTACCCACTGGGGCCCCCCATGAGTGGGCCTGGGGAACTGGCAGAGGGAAAATCACTGGGGGAAGTGGTTGGGCAGGCTGTCCCCAGGCAGGAATGGGGCTCCAGCTTGTCTGACAGAGAACACCCCATCAGGCAGGCTGCAAGTTCCCAGGAGCCTGGCCATCCCCCCACCAAAGTATGAGCGAGGGTGACTTCTATTACGTCCACCTGGGCTCCTGTGCTGGGGGGGCAGGGGGGAGGTGTTCAAACCGCCAGACACTGCACTCCGGCCCCCAGCCTGCTCCCCAGGAGGATGCTCTGTTCCAGAACCGTGCCAGACAGTTCTCTCTGCAGCACTGGGGAAGTCATGGGGCCAGGGGCACAGATGGGGCTGCACCTGCTGTGTGGCTAAGCAGGTGACTTACGCCTGGGCCCACCTCCCAGGCACCAACATAAGAGCAAGCCTGAGCTCTGAGGCCCCCAGCAACTCAAGGGATGAGAGGAATCCCGCCCCCCACCGCCATGACTCACAGCCAGGCAGGGCTGCCACGGAGGCAGTGACCACGCTCTCGATGCCCAGGGTACATAGGGCGCCGCGCAGGAGGCCGCAAGTGAAGGCCAGGAACTGGGAAGGGGACACAGACCAGTGTGGGAAGAGAAGGGAGGCCGGCACCTGAGGTCTGGGGTACCCCTTAGGCCTGGGGAGAGGCCTGACATGGGGTTGAGGCTGGGTACATAGGAGGAAGGGAGATGTGGACAGGCCCCAGCTCCCCCCATACCTTAGGCGCTTCCTCAAGGTACTGCAGGCCAGCAGCCATGGGGAGGAGGAGGGGGAAGCTGTTGTCCTGCAGGACATAGGTCCCCTGGGGGAGAGGAGAGGCCATGGGGTGGGGGGCCTGTACATTTGAAGTGCAGGGAGGGGAAGTGGGAACCCAGGGCCTAGATTGGGCCGAGGCTGGGAAGGCCCCCTCCGTGAGAACTGCTAGAGTCATGACCTTGGCCTCCAGTGCTCTGTACCTGGGGCTTCCCGACTTGGGCTGGGTGTCCCTGCCCTGGGGAGTGTGGGTCCTGCCCCCACCTCCCCGGGTTGTGCAGAAAAGCTGGGGACCCAGCCCAGGAAGTGGCAGAGGGGCAGCACAGTGCAAGGACTGGACCAGCTTGGGACAAGTGGCATTGCACTGGGGAGAGGGCAGGCAGCCACCAGGGGCTTTCTGCTCATGGGTGGCTCACTCCTGGTAGGCGGGGCTGGGGAGGTTCTGGAAACATCCCCTATACCCTAGTGCAGCCTCCTGGCTTCCATTAGAGGATCAGAGACCCACTAACGGCCGCGGGGCTGCTGGTGGGAAAGCTCTGGGCAGGTCCCGGGAGCTGCTGCTCTGGCACCAGGGCTTCCCTCCCACTCTCCTGGCCATGCCCTTGGGAGGGAGTGGGGCAGGTTGGCAGGCGTGGGTGCTCCCACCTGGTGATTGGTGCGCAGGCTGTCCATCTGCTTCTGGAATGCGGCCAGCCACAGGTCTTTGCACAAGAACTTGAGGACATCCAGCTCCTCCCTGAAGGCTAGCATCTCTCGGGGTAGCCTGGTGTGGCAGTGCCAGGCTGAGGATGTGGGGCCGGGCCAGGAACAGGGAGGACGCCAGGCCTGACTCCCACATGGAACAATGCAACCCTCCCCGCCCGGGGCCTGCCCAACCCTGCCAGCCAGGCTGGGGGAGAGCAGGAGGGGCCGCTCTCACCTCTCGCCTAGAGCCTGGCCCACGCGGAAGCCCATACTCTCCAGGACTGACAGGTTCATATTCTGTCCCTAGAGGGCCAGGGGAGAGAAGCTCAGGGGCCCTTGGCCACCTCGAATGCAGGGCCACCCAGGGGGACACCTGCAAGGGGACCTGAAGACCAACTTGCTGGTGGCTGTCAATTCAGGGGTGAGTGGGGACGGGTTCCAGCGCAGCCTGGCAGGGCAGGGGCAGGCCTCTAGGGTGCCGGGGCTCCCTCACCCTCCTCTGCAGACCTCGCAGACTCTCTGGATCCTGACTGTCAGGCTCCAAGGACCAGATCCTCCTTCCTTCAGGAACAATGGGGGTCTTCCCCAGAACCCCTCCCCGCTGTACAACGCTTCCTGATAACATCCGTCATGTACTGCAAGTGCTTTCAGTGTGAACCCTCACAACACACGTGGGCGCTGTGACTACACCAAGAGGC